GAGGGGTGAGAGTAGCCCACCCCTCGAGATGAGGGCAAGAGTATCCCATCCCCCGCGCGAGGGTCAGAGCCCCCCGCCCCCCGAGCTGGGGGTCAGAGTAGCCCACCCCTCGAGATGAGGGCAAGAGTATCCCATCCCCCGAGCGGAGGGTCAGAGCCCCCCGCCCCCCGAGCTGAGGGTGAGAGTAGCCCACCCCTCGAGATGAGGGTAAGAGTATCCCATCCCCCGCGCCGAGGGTCAGAGCCCCCCGCCCCCCGAGCTGAGGGTGAGAGTAGCCCACCCCTCGAGATGAGGGTAAGAGTATCCCATCCCCCGCGCCGAGGGTCAGAGCCCCCCGCCCCCCGAGCTGGGGGTCAGAGTAGCCCACCCCTCGAGATGAGGGCAAGAGTATCCCATCCCCCGAGCGGAGGGTCAGAGCCCCCCGCCCCCCGAGCTGAGGGTGAGAGTAGCCCACCCCTCGAGATGAGGGTAAGAGTATCCCATCCCCCGCGCCGAGGGTCAGAGCCCCCCGCCCCCCGAGCTGAGGGTGAGAGTAGCCCACCCCTCGAGATGAGGGTAAGAGTATCCCATCCCCCGAGCGGAGGGTCATAGCCCCCCGCCCCCCGAGCTGGGGGTCAGAGTAGCCCACCCCTCGAGATGAGGGTAAGAGTATCCCATCCCCCGAGCGGAGGGTCAGAGCCCCCCGCCCGCCCAGATGAGTGTCAGAGTACCCCGCCGCCCGGGATGACGCTCAGCGTACCCCATTCCTCGAGATGAAGGTCAGAGTCCCCCCCCCCCGAGCTGAGGGTCTGAGTCTCCCGCCATCCCCCCTCCGAGCTTAGGATCAGAGACCCCGCCCCCCAGGCTGAAGGCCTGAGCCCTCCACCGCTCAAGTTGAGGCCATGATGATCTCATAGAAGCGTGTGGAACGTGGGGCATGATGAACCAATGGCAACAAGTTGACAACGTGGGACGTGAGAAGCATATGAGAACGCGTTGAACGTAATGACAGGGCACTGCAGGGTATTGCAGTCCAAAAAACTGGGTACTGCAGTCCTATCTGTTAGTCTTTTGCTGTGTTCAGAATGTTTGCAAAGTGCGGCCGAAACCTCGACCGTAGTACTTTTGTACTGTGCCAGAACTACATGACACGCCATTGGACACTGCAGTTGTATGCACCGATGGCGAACATCCCGGCCTTACCTTCGGTGTGTTTGTCACGATGATCAGTTGGCCCGGTGTCTCTGACCCGTCACGCACTCGAAGAGTTCATTCCTGAACCAAGTGGAGCGACTGAAACAGCTCGTCAAGGCGAGCATGGCTCATGTGTAGCACAGATGAAAGACAGTTTCGGGGGCACCTCTTCGGCACGTGCCACCCGCTGTGGCTGCCTGCCTCACGACAAACGCCAAGAGGGCCTTCATTGCAGCCTCAGACGTCCATAATGTTTTCTTCGCGCCGGGACAGCTGCTGAAGCTGCAGGAGACGCAGCCGATGCTGTGGGATCGAGTAATGCAGATGGACGCCAGCCCAGATCACTGGCCCTCGTCCGAGGTCGCCGCCGTGTTCCAGCACAACGTGATCAACTTCCATTAGTGGTATACTATAAGGTGGACACTTCACTGTAGCCATCGTTGAAGGCGGTTTTCTTTCCAGCACACACGTGTTCAGACGGTACACATTTTCTACACTTCGACCGAACAACAGTACAGTAAATCACAGTCGACGAAACACACAGCCTTGCACAGATAGAGACTACAGTATTCTCCAGGATGATGCATGTCTATTAAGCCGGCATTTTAGTTTACCTATGTGGACTGATTTACAGATTTTGCGGTGGGGCTAGTCTTCGGTTTTGGCAAAATTTCGTCTTGATTCCTGTCTAATACTTCCCATGCCATTACCGCCGTGTTCCATGGACAGCTACAGCCGCACTCAACGCATACCCCGCCTGGCCGCAGCCAGACAGCCGTGGTGCTAACCGTCCAGGTCGGGCCGAGCATCATCATCCTAGCTGTTATCATATCGTTCAAGGGCGTCCTGTGCTAACAGTTGTCATCAGTGAACACGCATCTCAGGCGGGGTGTCCAGGTTTAAATGGCTTTCCTCTAAATTAAAACTTCTGCGTGACTATCCTGCGCCTTTTAAGGCATACATGAAAAACAGTTTTCTCTGCCAATAGTAATCTCTGCTGCTATGTCAACAGGGGCCCCTGTTAACCCGTCAAACAATGCCCTGTTGGCATACCAACAGTGTCACTTGGTAGGTGGCGTATCTTCCATCGGAGACCGTGGGCCATGGAAATCTGACGCCGGGGCCAGGGTAATCTGACGCCGGGGCCAGGGTAATCTGACGCCGGGGCCAGGGTAATTTGACGCCGGGGCCTGGGTAATCTGACGCCGGGGCCAGGGTAATCTGACGCCGGGGCCATGAAATCTGACGCCGGGGCCAGGGTAATCTGACGCCGGGGCCTGGGTAATCTGACGCCGGGGCCAGGGTAATCTGACGCCGGGGCCATGAAATCTGACGCCGGGGCCAGGGTAATCTGACGCCGGGGCCTGGGTAATCTGACGCCGGGGCCTGGGTAATCTGACGCCGGGGCCAGGGTAATCTGACGCCGAGGCCAGGGTAATCTGACGCCGGGGCCAGGGTAATCTGACGCCGAGGCCAGGGTAATCTGACGCCGAGGCCAGGGTAATCTGACGCCGGGGCCTGGGTAATCTGACGCCGGGGCCTGGGTAATCTGACGCCGGGGCCTGGGTAATCTGACGCCGGGGCCAGGGTAATCTGACGCCGAGGCCAGGGTAATCTGACGCCGGGGCCTGGGTAATCTGACGCCGGGGCCTGGGTAATCTGACGCCGGGGCCAGGGTAATCTGACGCCGAGGCCAGGGTAATCTGACGCCGGGGCCAGGGTAATCTGACGCCGAGGCCAGGGTAATCTGACGCCGGGGCCTGGGTAATCTGACGCCGGGGCCTGGGTAATCTGACGCCGGGGCCAGGGTAATCTGACGCCGGGGCCAGGGTAATCTGACGCCGGGGCCAGGGTAATCTGACGCCGGGGCCAGGGTAATCTGACGCCGGGCCAAACGGAGGCTGGTGCAGAATGCGTGATATGGCGACCCGAGGCGACCAGATGACCAAAGGCGCCCCCACGAGTCCACCAGTCACATCTCAGGCGCCGAGAAATTAAAAGGCACCCCCATTCACATACCCCGTTCGCTTGGTGGGGTTCCCCGAGTCAGCAATGACAACTGCAGCATGGCGAAGCCCAAAGGGCCCACCGCCACAGATCCGGACGTACTCACCCAGGCCTTCTCCCGCTTGACGGACCTGCTTAGAACCACACCAGGGCCTCAGCGAAACGGAGGGAGCGGCTACTGGCGCAAGGACGACAGGCCTTTGTGGCCCGTCGTCTCCACCGCACTCCCCCAAGCTCGGCTATCCGGAATGCATCGTGATAGGGCCAGCTTAGCACTCTGGACGCCTGATAGGGTTGCAGAGACGTTGTACATGAGCGTTGCCCAAGCTGACCCATGCACATCAACGTTGACGATCTGTGTCCGCCCGTAAGCAAACTATGCGCAACCGAAAAAAACAAAACAAACAATTGGGCTTTCAGAATGTTTATGTTTGAATTAGCCTGCAAAGAACAGTGTTTTCACGCCGCCATAGCGTTGGTGTCATACGACTTTGTCTCATGATGGCGTCACATTTTTTCTTTGGATTTTAAGCGCCTATGGAATAACTTGCATAATTCATCATTACAAAGTATTATCAATATAGGAAGTAGCAATGAAAACAATTTTAAATACATTCTTATCTTAAAAACGATATCTTTGTATAAGGCTTCAGCGGAATATTTGATATTTATGAGCCTTTAAATTGTCACATACAGTTTCTTTTCTTGAGCTTCTTTTCTGGCAGTTATCTGCCACTTTCCTGTCACTCGTCTGCCCAGGGGTACAATTTCCTAATCCGTTGCGAGTTCTCCAGCATCTAACAGTAGCTCTAGCCTCTCCCTCTTCCGCCAACAATGAGAGGGATGTTAGCCGAATGTATGGTGAACGCTCGATGACGTATTTTGGTGTAAATTTACACATTTTACACCGCTCTGCACTTCACCAAATTGCGCGAAATTACGCCTTTGCTTCTGCCTATTCTCCACCAACGTTCTGAGCTACCGAGGACTTGCATATAACTTTATAAAGTCGCGAGGGGATGCCATCTCAACTTGCCGATTCTTTTTGCTCTACCGGTCACAAGGTGAGTCGGCGTAGGCAACACACGATGCTATTCTAGTGGAAACACCTGCGCATTCCAGGTGCTCGGCAGGCCCATGCCCTGTTGTGTGTCCTCCCTGACGACGAGCCCCGCCAAGACCAGCTGGACGACTTTGTTTCGGCCGAGCTTCCAGACCCCGAGACGGAGCCGCAGCTGCACGACATCGTCTGCGTGAAGAAGGTGCACGGGCCGTGCGGAGCCCTCAACCCACGCGCGCCCTGCATGAGGGAAGACAGTTGTACCATATGTTTTACCATACCAGTTGTACTATACCGTAGCTAACACTTGACTTGTTTCAAAGATAATAAACTGGGCATTGCGTGTTCATAAACCCTCATAAAGCTGCGTTATATGTAGTCAACTTAAAAGGTGGCACAATTATGCATATACGGTGATAAGGACAAGATGATCTTATGATATTTTGTAACTTTACACCTGGTGCGTAATTTTTATAGCAGTTCTTTGGCTCAGCTGCGCATTCTTAGTTTTCCCCCTGCAGAGATAAACCGGAAAACAGAAGTTAGCATTTATATATTAACTTCTGTTCCCCATCGCTCCGTCAGTAATGCGGTGTAAGGCTGCGCTCACCCTGTATAAAAACGACAGTCTCAGGGGTAAAGGAGCGTGCGGAGCTGGTGTTGCGGCCAGTCGCGCCAGCCGTAGCAGAGCGAGACGAGATGCCCGACCACCGGCACAGATGAGGTGAGAGGCACAAACTGACTCGTGTGTTAACAAAACATCGCACCCCACACTACGACCAGGCACGCCTGAAAGGGTGACCGGTCGTGGCGTTCATGCAGCTCGTTCATGCAGGGCTTCAGTCTGCTGGCTTTGCTTCAACACTGCGGTGTCTTCCGCAAGGCACACGAACGTTGGCATTTACCGCAGTGTGATCAAGTCATACCTTCCCTGTTGCGTAAAAGAGACCGTGGATGTGCAGATGTATTTTGCAGCAGAGAGGCAGCTCCAGGTGACGATCAGAGTCAAGCGGACAGTGGTCAGTTCAGACAGCGGTCATTGTGCGGGTCAGGGTCGGGTCACACCGCAGGCAGACTAGAACGAAATCTCTCCAACCGACGGCTCTCCTACGCCATCTTCTGTGTCGAGAGTGGCGACCTAGCCACCGCGGATAGCCACCGTGGCCACGACTGCTGCAGCCTCCTGCATAGCCTGTGCTTCAGCGGCGACCACTCTAGTGATGCCAGCGGCGTATGCCGCTATGGCGGCCACGAACCTCGAAGGGGCGTCTAGAGCGTCGGTCAAAGCGGTCGGAGGGTCTACGCGCCAAGATGGCGCCAAACACGACCGCCAGCAACAGAATCTGAAACGGAAACAACGCAACGTCGTATAACCTGCACATTCACTTTGGCGTTATTCGTTCAAATCATGACGCTGCGAAATCATTGAAAAATGTGTAGAACTTAAAACATCACAAGTAATGCCGCAAGATACGTGGATCTCGCACCTGAACTGCTCGTAAGCATGTATGAAGTCTAATCAAGCACCGACACCGACAGGCCGACAGCCGACAGGTACCGCAGCACAAATTTAAAGGGTCAGCCCAGAATGTTTTCACCATTAATTCACCGCTCATATTCCAAACGTATCGTTAGCGTCAGCAAATTGTCTTCCGAGAAGAGAGCTCTCCAGCACCTAAAACATTGGTTCACTTTTTGAATTGCCTGCTTAATACCGCATTTGGTTGCATATAGTACTATGTTAGTATATATATATATATATATATATATATATATATATATATATATATATATATACATATTCAGTTCTAGAATACTGTAACGCAATGCTTTTTTATTTACGCGATATGTTAACCTGAAAATTTCTAACTCAGACCTGCTGACATATACAGATATTTAAAGCAGGAGTTTGCCTTAAAACAATGGTTAAGAGGCTCAGATAATAAACTTGACATAGCTTACTCGGAATCATGATTTCTCCCCGGATTTCGGACAATTTGATTTGCGCTCCTAATGTCAAATTGAAACTGAAAATTGTATCTTGTCGGTTACATAATCGTTTTGATGTTAAGGAATGACTTCCCACCAGAGGTCGCTCTGATGTGATCATGATGATATATGATTATGGTGATATTGGTGTTAATGCGTTTAGGTGGCTTGTGTATCGTTAGTTCAGACAACCACTGCGTTCCACTGGCCCAGCGTGCCTTTTTGCTCATAATCCCAGGTCAACATTACGGGGAGCACTCAGCGGCCTCCCAATAGTATACAAATTGACATCCCCGAATAAAAGACATGAAGCATCAAAAAGGGCAAACATTTTCATAATAAATAATTGTAAACTGGTGCCGATAGTACCAAAGGTGAAGCGTACCATACGCAATAGCCACTTCACCGTGGTCGTAAGGTGTACGTTCTTCAGGAATAAATCTACAAAATTAAGGCTGCCACCGTTTCAATTTGACAACAGCTCTGCATGTACTAACCGCTGACTACAGGCGCTGTTAACAAGTGGAATGTTATTGGAAGTGGAATGAACAAGGGATGAAGAGTGGAAGGGACAAAAAACTAGAAGGATGGAAGGACGTGAGGAAAGAATGACCGAGGGCTGGAGAGCTGGAAGATCGAGAGAAGGATGTTGGGAAGTGGCGAGTCGGGGGAGAGGATGTGAGGAGGGAAGAAGGGAAATGTGTGAGATGAAGGAGTAAAGAGAGCGAGAAGAAGAAAGAAAAGCAAGAGAGACTTGGAGAGTAAGTGGGACAGGGAGAGTAAACGGGACAGAAAAAGCAAGATTGAGTGAGAGAGTAAGAGGGAGAAAGAACGAAAGAGAGAGAAGGAAAGGAGGAGGGAGGAAGAGTAGAGACGGGGTGGTCGGAAAGAGGGGGAGAGCAAGGGCACCTGTAAAACATGTTTTGGTTTACGCGTTCTATATCCCAGAAATAAATATAGAACGTGCTCCTTCACATATGCTCTACGTGATTCATTTTGGCTTTCGGTAACGCAGGCTCAAAACGTTATCAGTCATGGCCTAGTAAAATATTTCAGTGATAGGCAAGATTTTCCAAGTGCATTGATCACTTCACGTCTTACCACCGGCACCGGCGTAATATTTCCACTTACCAGTAGCTTAAAGTTCATTTCTGCACCTTGCTTGCAAATGATGAGCAGTGCGAACACCAGCCACGAGTGAACACACTGCCCCGCGGGTTGCCTTATATAGCGCTCTCACGGCCTTCAGTAAGGCATTAATAAGTACGCTGATCTGGGCAGTACGCGAGTTGCTCGACCACGAGATTTAATCCGCCCACGATTCTGGAGAATTCGTGCATCGCACCAGAAAGACGCCGAGCTGTGAGGGTTTTCTGTGCATTAAAGCGTGCTTGAACATTTAGATAAAACACAAATGCGTGCCGTAAATTTTGCCTTAAATACGTGCATGCTGGGGATAGTTTAAATTCAGTATGGCTTTCACGGGCTTTTAAGCAATTGTTTAATGCAATACAATCGTCGCATGGTGCAGCGTAAGTTTCACAGTCTCATCACTGAATGGTCGGCATCATAAAGTGACAACCATTTTCGTAATGTTTATATCGTACCTGACCGGAAGTCATCCCAACGATTTGATCATGTTTTGGTGATAATTCAGCTAAGAAAGTACATATCCTCAATAACGATGAGCCAGTGAATAATTAAACAATATTATCGGCGTTCCAGAGGAAGTATCCATTACAGAAAAGGGGATCGAACAGTACCAAACATAACCACAAGTTTCGCTCTATAACAAGCATAAATAACTACACGTAGCATAGTTGCGGCTAGCTTTACAACACAAATAATGACAAACAGGTGCGAACTAGCATTTGGAGATTCCATCAAAATTTCCACGGATCCGTTTTTGCATCGCAGACTTATTTCATAATGTATTGGTTCGCGTAATCACAGCACATGATGGCTCGGTTTTCGGAACATCTTTTGCTGTAGTCTCAACATCGACAGCACACAGCCTTACTTAGTACGGGATGGCTCAGTTTTCACGGGTGCGCACTCGTGTGAACCAAGCCACCACGTATGAAGTGACGTCCTGTTCTCCCGACGGTTGAAATCGCCGGGAGGGCATTAGATTCGCCGGGATCTGATTAACTCTGCTCTAGTGATCATTGGCCTGGCATGTACCGAGACATGGTTCGGTAGCTGAACACTTGCATAGCCTGTAACATGCGAAAATGGCAACAAAAAACGACCTCCTCTGCTAAGCATGCATATTTCAAAATACCCTTTCGAACTGATTGCAGTGGACATTCTCTGGACCGTTTTCGCATAGCTACAGTGCTAATCGATGCGTCATTAACGTAACTGACATGTTTTCTGGCTTGCCTGAGTCATTTGCTACCAAATCGAAAAGTGCTGAAACCGTGGCACAGATTCTTATTGAGGATTCATGTCAAATTGCTTGATTAGTGTCATATATAGGATTCATGTACACTTGAGCACGCGTTCGGGTGTGGTGGGTGAGGGGGGGTCAACTTGACCCCCAAAGGTTTTTCCAGAATGATTTCCGAACTGCGTGACGTAGCCGCACTAAACCTCGCATGACTGTAGATGATGGAATAGCGAATCGTCGGATATAAAATATTTAGATGTACCCTGTAAGGATTTGAATTGAAAATATCACAAGTAATGCCGCAAGATGCGTGGATCTCGCGCCTGAACTGCTTGTAAGCATGCATGAACTCTAATCAAATATCAATATTTTAAACGTCGTAGCGACAAAGCGAGGAGGACATTGCAAGAAAGGAACATTTTGAGGAGAAGAAGCGACAAAGGAAGGACGGAGGGAGAGAGGGACGGAGCGATAGAGGTACGGAGTAACAGTGGAAAAGACAAAGGGACGCAAGGGCAAAGGGACGGAGGGGTGGAGGCATGGATGAATGTGGGGAGGGGGACTGACAGCCACAGGGCTGGACAGCTGGAGGGCTGGAGGGAGAAAGCGACAGACAGACGGAGGGAGCGAGGCGCCGAGGAATGAATACACGGAGGAATGGTGGAAAGGACAAAAGGCTAGAGGGATGGATGGACGTCAGGATGGAAGGAGAGCAGGCTGGAGAGTTCTTTGACTACGAGACTTGATTCGTCAATGATTGTGGAAAATCTGTGCATAGTACCAGAAAGACGCTCAGCTCTTAGAGTTTCTGTGCATCAAAGCTTGCTTGAAGATCTAGAGAAAACACAAGTGTGTGCCTTAAGTGTTGCTAAAATGTGTGCGTGCTTGAGATGCTCTGAATTCAGTCTGGTCTTCACGGGCTTTTGAGCAATTGCGTGATGCAATACAATCTACCCCACGGTGTGGCATAAGTTTCACGGTCTCATTACTGAAGGGTCAGCATCATCCAGCAACAACCATTATTGTAACGTTTATGTCGTGACTGACTGGAAGTGATCCGAAGCATCTGACCATGTTTTGATGGTATGCAGCTAGGAAAGCACATACCTTCACTAGAAAGATATAATCACACTTACAAACGTAGTATCGATCAGAGAAAAGCTGATCGAAGATCAGAAAATATAGCCAAAATATTGCACTATAATAAGCCTAAATATGTACATAAATGCTCTACACATCGAGTGGTCATTCATCACAGATTGCATCTAGCGTCGTGCAGTAAGCTTGCGAGGGTTGCAAAAATGGCTGCAAAATGATATGCATAAATTGCACATGTCCCTTTCGCCCAACAAGACGAACGCTGCAGCTGTGCCCTTAGCTGCAGCTGAAGCAGTACTGGTTTAATGGCATTGATACACATCGGTATGTTGATTGATGTATCGATCGAAAGATATCCCCTACCAGGTTATTATTGCTAAACATGTTTGCAAAGCAACGCATGGAGTGATCTCTTCATGGGTGTAGTCACTAACCGGCCAGATAGCCGAGGGTACCAGGACTTTGCAGCGTTTGATCGGAACGGAATTGGGGGGGGGGGGGGTCGGTTCTATACTAGTATAACGTTATGTTTTTTATTGACGCGATATGCTAACCTGAAAATTCCTAACCCAGACCTGCTCACATATACAGACATTGAAAGCAAGGGTTTTCTTTATATCATTGGTTTGGGGGCTCAAGTAAAAAACTTGACATAGCTTACTTGGAATCATGATTTCTCCCTGGATTTCGGGCAATTTGATTTGCGCTCCTAATGACAAATTAAAATTGAAAGTTATACCTTGTCGGTTACATAATCGTTTTGATGTTAAAGAATGGTTTCTCACTGGAAATCTCTCTGATATGATCATGATGATATATGATCATGGTTATATTGGTATTGATGCGTTTAGGTAGCTGGTGTAT